CACAACCATGAGACACACAAACACACAACGTCACGAAACTGCACAACCATGAGACACACAAACAGACAACGTCAAGAAACTGCACAACCATGAGACACACAAACAGACAACGTCAAGAAACTGCACAACCCTGAGACACACAAACACACAACGTCACGAAACTACACAACCCTGAGACACACAACACAAAACGTCACGAAACTACACAGTTTTGACCTCTGGATGTGGGGACACTGGGTGGAGGGGCTCTGAATGTAGCGGCTGTAGGTGGAGGGCACTGGGTGGATAAGCTGCTTACCTGTGGACAGATGTGCTTCACCTCTGTTTGAATATTTGGATTCTGTTTGCTTGTCTCACTGATTTCTGTGGTTTTCATTGGTGGTGGTGTAAGAAAGGGGTGTGGGTGGGGTCAAAATCATGGTATAAAGGACAGTTGTAGCCACAGTGACACCACCCACTGGTGGCGTCACGGAGCCTTCGTGGTGTTTTCAGTGTGGATGTGAGGAGCTCAGGTGTGTCACAAACAGCATGACGAGACACTCACAGGTCAAAGATGAGGTAATGATGCCCCTCCTCCGAGATGCTGTCATGCAGTCGAACTGGAAGACAGAAAGGAAAGCAGACATTTTATTTTCCCGTTACACCACGTCAACCCCACAGAGCGCACACGCAGCTGCTCGCCACGCAGCTGCTCGCCACGCAGCTGCTGGCCGAGGTCAGAGGTCACACTCATTGGTTCTCCCTCTGCCACCCGTAAGCCTTCCTGCTTCCTGCTCTGCTGTGACTCTGACCATCATCTCCAAAATGAACTTCCTGTTTTATCCAATCAGACCACAAACTTGTCACCTCACTGAACTCACCGATCAGCTGACCAGGACGCTTATTTCCTCATACACTGCATCCAATCAGGGCAGAAGAGGCGCCCCCTGCTGTATGTTAGAAAGGCTGCAGATACATACAGGAAACTGCTGAAGATTAAGGCTGAACACCGACTGTGGCTGTTAGTAATGTGTCAGTGAGCGTGCCGTCCAAGCTGGGCGGGGCTAAGGGCGAATCAGCCATGCTGGTTTCTTCTGACACATTTAAACCGACCCATCCTCACAGGCGACTCTCAGAGCAGCTCTGCATGACTCACAGATCAGAATAAGACTTCTTTGTCTGACACTCAGACTCAGTTCATCCTCAGTCTAAAACAATAAGTTTAAGCTCCTCCCCTCTTACTTTTGATTGGCTGAGCGGGTGGGCGGAGCTTCTATAAAGCTGTGATACTGAATATTCCTGAACAGCCTGAGCTGTGGGCTCACAGGGATCACTGCACATACACCAAGACCATTCATATAAACTTGGTAAATGGCCTGTATCTGTATAGCGCTTTACTCGTCCCTAAGGACCCCAGAGCGCTTTACACCCATTCACACACTCATCCACACACTGGTGATGGCAGCTACATTGTAGCCACAGCTGCCCTGGGGCGCACTGACAGAGGCGAGGCTGCCGGACACTGGCGCCACCGGGCCCTCTGACCACCACCAGTAGGCAACGGGTGAAGTGTCT